AAATGCATCAAGGACTAGCTGATCAGAGTGTATTAAATAACGAAAAAAGGGAAAATTACCATAAAAAGTAAAAATAGCAGGAATCGATAATCTGGGTCAACTCTTTGTGGGAGGGAGGTGCTTTATGTCAAGGTAATTTCTTCACACAAACTTTTAGGGTTAGTCAGATTTTTGTCACTTTAAGAAATGTCTCATTTAACTTGTAACCTGGCATTTTACTTGTAAATTGTCTAGATTTTAAAGGGCTGGGTAAATTAGGGGTGAGTATTCAGTTGACTAGCAAGACAGGTGGTGTACAAGTATTAAAACCAGGCTAACTAGTAAAGAGAGTTTTGGAATGACCTTCAGAGACAGTACTGTAAAGGTGAAAGATGTGCTTTTTCTTCTTGAAGAAGTTAGTGATCTCATGTTTGGGGGAGATACACCTTAAGTAGAAAGAGACAAACTTCATTGGAAATTTGCCTTATTCTGGAGTAACTTGGATCTTCTTTTGGAGAAACTTGCATTGGCTTACAGTTCATGGATAGAAGGCTCCTTAGTTTATCATCTTCAGGTGCGTGTTCCTTCTGCTTGTCTGCTTTGCGAGATTAAGCTACAGAATATCTTCATCTTGTGAAGATATAAAATTAAATTTTTGGAAGAATGGCAATTTTGCCAGAAGGACAGTGTCAAGCATTCTGACTTTTGTGTATGATCTCAGAGGGACTGACTGATGGAAGATGAGAAAGATTACACAGTTGATGACTGAGGAGGATCTGGGTTTTCTAATCTGTACAGTTACTTGTGTTAGGGTGGTTATCAAGCTAAGCATAAAAAGTCATACAAATATCTCCTTGTAACTTTAATGTTGTCTTATATTGGGGAATTTCATTCTCTTCAGCTTCTTATGCTCAAATTTCATGAATCAGTGACCCATGGAATATTTTTTACTAACCCTGTTGTGTGGGGCCAGTGAGATAATTCCCCAGAACAGCAATGATTAACTAAAATGGAGTTCATCAAATGAGAGAGAATAAAATAGGTTTATGTTTGTTTCTGGAATTCAGCATCATTGCTTTTAGAATTCATGCAGGCTTGGGGTAGAAATTGTCAGCGTTAGCTTACTGGGCTTAGAAACATATTGTGCAATGTGCTCGGGGAGAGTCTTGGCGTATAAAATAACAAAATCTTCAGAAAGCCAGTACAGTCACTTGTGTGAAAATGAACTTAGCTTAGAAGATGGTCCACACCTAAATTGTTTTTGAAGACTTTACAGAACATTCGTGGATGGTGCATTTATATACATTTACAGGCACACAGAAATACAGTAAAGCAGTATCAGGGCTCAACTGCGTTCTTGCAGTTTCTTCCTTTTTTTATATATAAATATACTAAATTCTATGATGCTAAATTGTTCTTTTGAAGCGATTTATGCCTTTATGTAAGTTTCCTGGAAGTTCTGTGGCTGTGATACGTTAATGAAGGCTCTCCTCTTAAACCCAAAAGATGTGATGTTCTTTCAAAACTCATGTTCTTGGTTCTAGCAATTGACATAAATGTTTTCTGTGGTAAAAAGCAGCATGTTTCCTACCATATTAACTGTTTTCAGGGGCATAAAAACACTTCCAGAGAGAGAGATTAACTGCAAGCTTTATTCTACTCCATGTTGTATCTCAGAATGATTAGGTGTGTTTCACCACTTTTTCTCTGTACTTCCTGATTTTTATTTTTTTTTTTTTCATTTCACTGACAGTTTTGTCAGACACTTGAAATACTGAACATGCTTTCTGTGATTATCCAGCACTTTCATCCATCGGTTATTTTACCTTTTTGATGCTCCCAACCCCCATTTCCCCAGGTGCTGCTGAATCACCACTCCTGTTTTTATAGGATCGCGACTGGAGAACCCCTGTTCTGAATGATAGTTCTCCCTAACATAGCAGAAGTTATCCTGATGCGTTATTCTTGTCCAATTTGAGTCAAGGACAACTACTAAAAAAAAGTTTAGTCCCACTATCAGTATAACTCTAGTTGAAAGAGTTGTGTTTCAGCAGCACTATGTTGCAAGTGATGAGGTGGAGCAAGAAAGGCCGTGTAACTATGTAATGCAGCTGGTGTGCAGGATAGAGTTTATAATGATAGCCATACTCTCAAGATGTCATACATGTCAGGGAAGTGAGGTGTAGGTGTACCAAGTCTTTGTGTCTGAAGGTGTAGCATATATTGTAACATTTAAATAGGGTGGGCTGGAAAGCTCCTTTTGAGTCTGGATATTCATCCCAGGCTCTAATAAAAGGCAGCATTAGAAACATAAACCAAATACTTGGTGCATCTTCAACATAAAATAGTATTTCATTCTGAAGCACCTGAGTGTGAGCTTCTTCAGGTCTTTTCCTGAGGTGAGAGGCTTCCACAGCATCCAGCTGTGCCCTGGGCACAGATGCATGATACTACTGTGAATTTCCAGCCATTTCTATAGTGTAAATAATACTACTAATAATAAATGATCTTGCAGTGCTAGTTTACTAAATCTCCCAGTGATATTGGTGAGACACCTGGATAGACAGTCCACATCCAGGCTTTTGTTGGATTATTGAAAATTGCAGGCTTTTGAAATACTACCTCCTCTGCCAAGTGCATCAGGGTGTTAGAGCTAGTTTTCAAATACTGCGTGAGAAATGCAGGTTATGAAATTATTAGAGTCTCTTAAAACACAGTAAAGATGTAAAACTCATTGTGAGGCATCTGTTTGAGTAGACATCATAAAAGAATATTCGCCAGTGGAGAAAAGGCTGAATGGAGTTAGGTAAATGCTATTTGAGAGTGATGCAGAAGAAAGCCTGTGACTGATTTTGTTTTTTCTGCAGTTTGCATTTCTGTAGCTCTGAACCAGATGTGTCATACAGAAATGACTCCAGAATTTACGGCAGCCCTAATAAGAAGTTGACTTGTCTTTTTAGTTGCTTTCTAAAGCAAAGAAACAAATTACAAAAAGCTGTAAATGTAGCAAGTAGCAACAGAATGTAACAAAGTGTGTTAAAGCCAGAAGGATTAAGGGGAAAATAGAAAAAATGTAATGGTACATAATTTAACACCATTATCCTCAGTAAATTTTCCTATCTGTTACGATCTTATATAAAATCAAGTTAAGCCACTGAAATCTTCTTTATGGCAGTTCATCTTCTTTTGTCTCTCAGTAGAGAAAGCTTGAGTTTTAAGTGTATTCTGTAGTGCTGATCATTTAAACCTTGTTCTTTTTTTCCCTTAGCCCTTTGGAAGAGTCACAATTTAGAATTGCTGTATTTGTATGCATAGTTAATCTGCAAATTGTATTTTTATGTTATAGCCAGAGAAAATAAAAAAAAAGTTCAGTGGCACAAAAATGACAGGGATTTTGCATATTTGTGGATAATAATATGGAAGTTATTGCTGGGATTCCCATCTTTCATTTTAGGCTCCCTGCTCTAGATTGTTGCAGAACATCTGCTGTCCACAGTGGTATCCTACCACTTATTTTGTATGGCATTTCAGGGAGTTTATATTCAATGGTACATACACTCAGAGAAGTACAGCATTTGTTAAAATGAGAGAGACATATGAGGCAGTCAATGAAGTCATCTTGTACAGCACGATGTTTGTGTGATAGATGAGAGCAGAATCTGTTTTGACAATTGGGGAATTTTCTGGTAATCACTGATGGGTGGATTTCTGTAAGAAGTTTGTAATTGTTTGTATTCCAAGAGAAAATGAACCTCAGGCTGAGCTTGACATGCAAGCACAGTCTGCTTCTTTTTAATGTATATTAATTTTTTTCTTTTTTTTTCCCTCTGAGACCAAATTTATGCCTTGACTGGAGCAGATATAATCCTTCAATAATGAAGAACTGCCGATCAGCTATTAACAACGGCATGCCAGAGTTACATTCTCTTCTAAATTGTGTCTGCCTTTATTCACAGCCTTTGGGATGCGTTCAGATGCAGCCTGGAGCGTAAAGATTTCCCACAGACTGACTCATTTCAAGTCAGTGGGAATCAGCACTCTTTCAAATCCCACAAGAAACTTACGCTTTGATTTAGGAACCTTGTAAAAATTTGTTTCTGTATTTCTCCCTTACTGTAATAAAGTAAATGAGTTGCTCTGGGACTTGCTGATGGCATCAGTGGATGTCTCTTGCAGAGAGTGCACTCTGGGTGAGTAAGCAGCTGGTGCTTTCAGTGGTGAAGGCAGCTTTTCAGTGATGTCTTCATAGAGTAGTTATCCACAGCTCTTGCAGAGAGTTTTATCTGATCTTCTTCCCCTTTGCACAATACCTGCCTGATACAGGTATAATGCTGTTTTCAGTACAGTCTCTCTGGCTTACTAGGGACTATAGACTGAAACCTGCAGTCTGTGAAGTGTGGAGATGCAGATTAAATAATTACAAGAGTTGCAAGTTCTCCAGCACCTTCCCATGGACACAAATGCTTCAAACAGAATTGTGTTCTGTGATGTGTGAAAGTGCCGAAGTCAGTTGTTTCACCGTAGCACAGAAGGCCCTGGGCGTGAACAAGGAAGAGTCAGTAATGTACCAAGAGGAGAGGAACACTTGTACCGCTGCAGTAATTCATTTATGATTCTGAAGTGGGGCTGCTCATGCTCGTGATAAATTTATCCAGTTATGTTGACACAGTAGCAAAGAGCTTCATATAACTGCCATAGAGGCACACCCATAAGATTAAAGCTCCTGCTTCCGCTGCTCCACCTTCAATATGATTTTTACAGGTACATGCATTTTTAAAAGCATGATGGTAATGCTTTTCCTCTCCAGAAAAATATCTCTGAGGGGAAACATGATAGATGTATGCCATAATTTTGAGTTTTATTGGTTTATTACTGCCTTTCAATGCAGTATCTAAGATAAGGTTTCTCAGCTTTCCTCCAGGAACCTCTATGGGTAATCAATATGAAAATGGGTGGACTTTAGTCTGAAAGCATGTGTGCTGACCACTGGTTTTGCTTCCATGTGCTGACAATAACGTGGCATGACGGTGAAAGCCAGGTTTTTGGCTGTGTGCGCATCCTGTCTTCACTTGCTCCTTGCAGCTCGTGCCATCAGGGGAAGTGACATGTGGCATCTGTGGAGAAGATGCTATTTTCCTCCTGAACGTAACCTTGTCTTCCAGATCACAGTTGGAAATGAGAAATTTTTGCCAGGCTGTTGGTGTGAAGAACTGGGAATTCTTCCAACTCTCCTTGGGAGTGGAATTTGGTCAGTTCAGAACACCACCACCATTCCTGGGTCCAGTACAGTTGTGAAAGGCTCAATGACACTGTCCCAATCACTTTCACTAGAAAAAGCAGTTGTTAGCTGTGTAAATGAACTGAAGTCCTGTTTATTTATGTTCTCTGTTTCCCTGAAGTCAGTTTCAACTTTTGTTTTCTGCAGAACTGAACTCCTCTGGCATTTCATATAATAATAAATATACTTCATGTGGTACTTGGAGTCCTTTAACACATATTCTGTTCTGAGATTTTCAGTGACCTTGCAAATCATGCAAACTGCTGTGCAGAAACTATTTTCTTTGCTTATGATGATGAAGCTTATTTCAGAAGGTAAACTTCCCTGATAAATACATTCAATATTTGTATATTATTCACATTTCAAGACTGTGAAGCCTGTGTGACTCTGCCTTCCACAACTGTTTTTTATGAATGTATGTTAATTTGGGGAGGAACAGAACTTCTTAAAGATTTGTTTGTTTTGAGACTGTAACTCAAAACTTTGGTGGTTCCTTTTATTTCTGCTGGAATTTCTTATTCCTTTTATGTCTTTTGGCATTGTCATTGAATTTGGGTTTTTTTCTGATTTATTAACCAGGAGTAACAACTCTGGTTCTAATGAATATTGTGCATGTGAAGTATAAGAGAGGCTGCAGGGCAAACCAAAAAAAAGTGGCACTTCTAAAATATTCTGTACAGATATGGCATTGCTATACAAAGCAGGATTTTTTTATTTTTTTATTTTTTTTTTTAAAGGATGCCAGTTTAGGGGAGGAAGGAGCATGTTACCCAGTGCTGCAGTTCTAAAGGGAGGAAGAAAGAAAAGGCATTACTCTTGGCGTGGGAGCAGGCTGATGCAGCCAGTGCAATTGTCTTTGAGGAAGTGCTGGGATCTTGTAGCACTACCTGCTTCTGGCCTGTTCTTGAAGGATTATGTACTTTGCTACCCCTAGAATAGAGTGAGCAGTGGACTGTGGGTGGGTTGTTTATTTTTCTCTTCTACTTGCTCTACAGACCAAGGGTGGCACATGGGTGTCCTGATTTGATACAGTCATAGAAGGCCATCTCTGGTGGTGAAGTCTGAAATTCACATGGTATTGCTGAGTCCAGGTCTGCAGCTGTAAAGAAAGTACTTCCTCAGTCTCTTAGCATGAGGGACCAAGCCCTCTGGCACGGGCTAGAGCTGGGGATGGGTGGTGCATGCTGTATTCTGCACAAGCTTTTTCCTTGGCTGGACCCTTTATGTGCAGTACTGTCCAGGGTTGAGACTGCATGATGCAGCTGTGCAAGCAGCTTTTTGTTGGGCCAGCCTCAGGGTGTATGGCAGAACTCTCTGTTTGCAGATGAGTTTTCAAGTGTCTCTGCCACTGAGAGAGCTTGTATTGGAGCTTTACTTGGATGCACTTATTTCTTTGAGGCTTAATAACAGCAAAAGTTTGTGGAGGTCATTAAGTGTGAAGTGGTTTTAACTTGGTTTAAATACCTCAAGATACTTTGGCATATTTCACAATTTTGAGGAAAATGGAGAAAGTGCTAAAAGTATGCATTCTAGAAGTGTTCCACAAAAGAAGCAAGAAAATAAGGATTCTTGCCAGTAATCCTGCTCCCAGAGCCCATGATCTTGCTTTTCCAGCTGATGCAAGAAGGCCAGTAAAGTGTTAGGAAAATGGACTAATCTAAAGCAAGAACTTCAGGCAGACCCTGCCAGATGGGTGTGTGACTGGAAAACTTCCAGTCCCTTTTGTGGCTTAACCGCTTGCATTTTGGTCTGTTTGCAGTGTCCCAGAAGTGTCTCTGCTTTGAATGATGAGTTGTTGACAACCTGATATTTTGTCTCTCTCTTCTCTGCTCAAGTACTTTAATAGTAGCTCCAGTGGAAAAATTTCCTGGTAGGCAGACTTGCCAAGCCTTAGTGGATTTCAGTTTATGCTGTGGCTGGCTGCAAACTGGCAGGTGCCTGTCTTCAGGATTTAATTCAGTTCATGAGGAATTATTTATTCCTATGTACATTATGAATTGGTGTTATTGATTTAGAGCTACTGCCATAGTAATTTCTAGATAAACTTTTGCAGTAGAACTGCCAACACTAGAAGGCCTAGTTCACATGGCATATTTGAAAAAATCTGTAATGCTGATAAATAAATACAAGTAAGGTGACAGTTTTCAGAAAAGAGAATTATCCTCCTGCTAAGAGTATACTGCTGCCTCTCTCTATCTGCAGTGCTAAATAGGGTGAGAAGTAAATTCCATTTTTGTATGCACTTGCTCTCAGTAACTAGGGCTGCTAGAAGAGTTGAGTATATTGCATCCCTTGGAGGTGCAGTCCAATGGTGGCTTAAGTGAAGGAAAAACTGGACTAAAACACTTCTCCCTGGTGCTGCTTTTAGTGTTGAGAGTTACATGATGAGGTAGGTCAGGGAGCTGATCTGATTGCTCGCTCACCCCTGTATAGCTTTCCATTGAGTAAGTTCTCTGAGCTGAGTGTGCATTCCAGAGGACAGACAGACAGACCAAAAGCAGGACTGCAACAACCTGAGTTGAGATTGCCTAAAGGTGTGGTTTCACGTTATTCTTGATCCTGCCTCATTGTGGATTGCCTCATATCCTTTCATCTTCCAGTAAGGGTGGCTAAGGAGTGTATTTCATGTTTGCTGTGCCAGCTGTTTGTGCTTTCAGCCTGATGTTTTTCAGAAACTTTCGGCTTATGGGAAGGTTTGAAAACACTGTATATGTTTTATCCTGTACTGGGACAAAAACTTCAGGACATCTCATCAGCTGAAAGTTCAAAGATTCTGCCACTTGAACTGATATTTGTGACTGTGTCTGCTAGCAAGTAAAAGCGTTCGTGGATACCAGTGTTCAGTTGCCTGTGCTGTTAGATTGTTAACACTTCTGGCATGCTTTTGGCTTGGGCCAACTAGTACAGTATCAGTAGCATTCCCAGTGGCCAGTCTGAACACAGCAATTTGAAGATGGGATGTAAGCCATTCCAGGCCACTTGGCCCTAATGCAGAAGTGGGGTCTGGGCATGTTTAAACAATCAGGATTGCTTTACTGGTTTCCTAGTTTAGATGTAACAAGTGGTGCTGCTTTGAAGAGACTTGAAGCTTGTGTTGCCAGCTAAGGTTGTGCAGAGTTGCAGTGCCGTATCTATTCAGGAAGATGGGTTAAAGATAATGTACACTTCCAGCAGCTATCTTAACTTCCAGATTCAGTCCTTCTTGGAGCCCTTAAACTGAATGAAGGTTAGTACATAGCTATTGAAAGTCTTAGGTTTCAATAGTCATCAAATAAATAATCTGTTAATATGTGCTATCTTTTGGAAAGGAATCTTTCCAAAAAAACACCTTATAGAATTAGATTGCAAATACAGCATTTGTGTGTCTTTTCCTGCGTGGATCACCAATTCCTTTTGCGTCTGCAAGTAACATGCCAAAAGTTGTGAGTAAACATGATGTAAAAATTTAATTTTCCATTTCAGTCCAACTGTAAGGCATAACAGAGAGAGTACCTCTCCGTTCCTGTTCTGATAAAAGATACAATAATTTTCAGTGATTAATTTCAGTGTAATATAACTGCTCTGCATTACTGCAGTTATACTGAAAAGCCAACAGTGTGGAAAATGGAGAAGGTTGACTGTGAAAGAAACAAATAAAGGTTCAAGAGCTTATGCTACTGCAAATTATTTGATCAATACTGTCAGAACTGGTTCTTAGTTTCATGGTTTAATGTGCTGGCCTTTGTATCCAGGTATTTTTGGACAAGTCTCAGTATTCCCCAGAGTGAAAGAGTGGTTACTCTTCTCAAAATGAATGTGTGAGTAGGTGGTGGCTGTTGTCACTTTTTTTTTAGTGTCTTGAATGCTTCTTAATCCTAAATGATTCTCTTTCTTCTTTTTAGAAGTTGAAGAGGCTGAAGCATGAGAATCCAAGTGTTAATACTGTACAAATGTAAACTGAGATGCATTTCTTACGAGCTGTGTTGGCTATTTAGTTTGTGTAAAGCTGAATATCTATTTTGCTGGCAAATATTTGAAGATTTGCATCTGTGTAGCTTTCCTATTCACACCAGTAGGAAAAAAACAATTCTATTCTTGTCATAAATGACTGTTATCATTCCATCACTTCAGTTTGATTGGAGCTTGAAGCTTATGTTGAATCTTGCAGTGAGATCTTGCATACTAACTTATTTAGTTAATTGGTACCAGGCCACTCGAATACTAATTGAATTCCAGAAATTACTTGGAAAGAAAACATTTTACCTGTACATAGGATACAGAAGGAATGGAAATGTACAATTAAATAAAACACCTATTAAATATGCAAATGGTCATTCCTACCATTTTAGCTCTACTGACCTATGCCAGTCATCAAACTTTCTCTTGGATCACTGATTTAGCCAGTTGGAGTTGATGAATTCATAAGCTTTTCCTATTACTATTTCTTTGGCTCAATTGTGGGCTAGCTAGTGTGAGTTTTTGCTGTCTGCTGTGACTCAAGAATGGTGATGGATTAGTTTTTAGTTTATTTTCTCAAGAAACATAGTTGACTGTGTTCCTATTCTTTTAGTCCTTGTTCTTACTCAAAAATATGACACTATGCAAGACACTTAAATGTATGACCTCATTTGTAGCCATGGTGCTAGTACTTTTTTAAAAACTGCTACTGGAACAATAATTTTTTATTTTCTAAACATGGAATTTGGAGCTGTGCTAGCTTGGTGAATGTCCATATATAAATATTTCAGAATCAAATTCAACACTTATAGTGCTCCTGGTCTTTTTTCTTGAAGTTGCTTCTACCAGCTACGATGCTGGCCATTCCCATTTGTAGGTTTGCTTGTTGATTTCATCTACAGATACTAAAGCACTTTACTGAGGGAGCAGATAGCAAGCTTATAGTATTAAGGATAGTGAAACCAGAAGGATAGAGAGTAAAGTGGCTTACCTGAGGCTTGGTAGTAGATGGTAGCTAGAGCTTAGGAGAGGACTCAGATTTCCTGTACTTACATGTGCTGCAGCTTGT